TACTTATGGATTGTTGACGATCCATAAGTAATCTATTATGTAGAAATCACTTTTTTTGTGTCATCAATAAATAAAACGATTCGAGTTATGGTCCTACTGTATATGTACCAAATAAATAATTTTTAAGAACGCAAATTTTTCTCTTCCCCCCTTTTTTAGTGACGTGATTAGGCTTGGACCGAGCTTTTTCAGATTTTTAAATAAAAAAGCAGATCCCACTTATACGCGTTAATCACAAGATTTTAGTCGTAGCGATTCGGTTTTTTGGAACGTGTATATAACGTTCTGGGCATTACAATGTAATACGAGCTGCTGGAACACACCCAGGTTTATGCTTACAGCATATCTAGAATAACAATATAGCACCTAGGTTTTTTGTACTTTAGCAATTATTTCGTCATGATACTGTAATTAATTATAAACATACACCTATGATGCCACAATGTATTTACATTATGCGAGCATGACTACCAAGATGTGAATGGGAAGCAATCTAAATTCATTTGCACTAGAAGTCACTTTCTATCTCTCACACGCTTATGCATTCTTTCTTATTACTCATATATTCGAGGATCAAAATTATATAGTAAAAATCTTACTTTATACTCCGTATATATTTAATATATACGAAATGTGTCTCATCGTAATACCCATTAGATGTAATCGTTTTATTGGCGCGGTATAATCCATTAAATCTACACCCTTCTATCGATATAATACAATATCTACATTCGATTTTAATAAAAAAATCGATCGATACATAAGTATACTTGACGTGGCTGTCCAACTCGTGGCATCGGTTTGCCACATCTCCCACCGGGAGTATCACTCTTTCAAAATCCGGTAACACCGTCTGAGAGACGAATTGTTAACGGAGCAACACGTTTATCTTCGCGGTTCCATAAACTCAAAAAGCCGAAATTTATTTCGGAAAAAGACGCGTTATCATTTTTCGTTATCCGCGAAACGCTAAAATGCAGAAGTGGACGTATCGCGCGTTAGCTATCGACAAACATGGAAGGCAAGCTATCTTCGCTGACAGTGATCGGTCGGTCGGTTCGAATTTCGCGAGACATGAGTATGAAGCGCGAGAACTCTCTATCAGCCCGATGTTTTGAGTTGGATGCAGCACGTGTTTTACTTATCTAGTAAAAACTCCGAATTATCTGCGATAACGTTTAAAGGCTTGTCGCGTATCACATAAATCTAGACAGTTTATCGTTTAGTTTAGAATCGTAAATATATGTATATATGTATATATGTACCTAATGTACTAAACTCAGTGCACGCTTATTCGGCCAACGGATGAGCGTCGTCGTGGTAATCGCTGAGCAGTTGTGAGTGTGTGTGTGTGTGTGTGTGTGCGCGCGTGTGTGTAGTGTGTGTGTATGTGTATTAAATAACTTCCGCGTTATCCTAATCACTGATCTGACTCGTTATTAGTCGTCAACACGGTGACGGGCTCAGACTCTTTATTGTTCGATGGTAAACTCGTAGTATCGGTATCCTCGCTGTCACCCTCGGTGCTGTCAGCTGCGCTAGAACGCGGTGCCGTCGCCGTTGTTGCCGTTGCATCCTCCTTCTTGTCCTGATCATCACTCTCATCGTTGGCGACG